CCATGCTGTGGCAGGCATCCCACATATAAAGTAGAGGAAAATAGGCATGGATGTTATCTCAGGGCCAGTCTTCCTCAGCAAAAAGAGGATTGGCAGCAGTTAGCTCAGGGCTAATCTTCCTCAAAAAAAGAAATATAAAAGTTTATAATTCACAGGGCCAGCCCGTGGCTCAGTGGTTAAGTTCTCATGTTCCACTTCTCCGGCCCGGGGTTCACCAGTTTGGATCCTAGGCATGGACCTACACACTGCTTGTCAAGACATGCTGTGGCGGCATTCTACGTAGAACTAGAATGACCTACAACTAGGATATAAAACTGTGTACTGGGGCTTTGGGGAGGGGGAAAACAAAGGAAGATTGGCAACAGATGTTAGCTCAGGGCCAATCTTCCTCACCAAAAAAAAAAAAAAGGAAAGAAAGAAATTCTTTCTTCAGTCACACCAACCACATTTCAAGCACTCAGCAGCCAGTGTGAGGAATGGCTACCTTATTGGACAGTGTAGACAGACCACTTCCACCATCACAGAAAGCTCTGTTTGACAGCGCTGCTCTAGAAGGATGCAGCATGTGCCCTGTGGCTCTATGTGTGCCCAGCTCCCCTCTGCCTTGTCCCTTCTTGGTTGTCATACTCCGGTTTGGGGTAGGGGAAGTGCATGCTGCAGCTCCCTTCTTCTGTGCTTGGAAGACCAGATCTTCAGCAGCAGGCCCTGGGGGATGGGGAGAAGGAGTGGTGGCGGGTGTGCTGGGATCAAAGGCAGACACAGTCGGGGAGGCAGACCAGCAGAACCAGGCCAAAAAGGGACGGGCCTGGGGGGTTGTGTGCCAGGCTATGTGTACCAGACTCCTGTGGGGCAAGAAGGAGGGAGGACAGCCCAGAAGACCCTTCTCCATGGATGTGAGGGGCTCTGCCTGCACACACAGGCTTCAGAGGCTGGGGTGGGACCGGCTGACCTACTGTGACAGTTTGGGGCACCATATAATGGACGTGGATGAACAGGAGCTCTTTTGGAAGTCAGGTAATTGGTGGGGGAGGTGGAGAGGCCACTCTGAGGGGATCTGCTAAGGAGAAAAGGCCGGTGGGACACCCACGCAGGCTTCAGATCACTCCAGGAGAAAGACCTTACAGAAAAGGGGAGAGCATGGTTGCATGAGCCCCCACGTTCTCTTCCGCATCTTCGCCAGTTCTCAACATTTTCCTGCACTGGCCCCGTCTTAGCCTCTGAGTTTTTGTCTTTCTTTTTTTTCCTGGAACATTTTACAGCACATCCTAGATAGATCATTCTACCCATAAATCCTTGCAGGATGCATTCTTACAGAGAGTCTTGTCTCTCCTAGGACTGTCATGTCACTGTCACTCATAGGAAAAATCTAGCCTTTCCTGACTTCCCCAAATGCCCACCTCATTTTCACACCCTCCCCTGCCGGGGAGAGAGATTCTGGATCATTACCAAGAACTGTGAGCATCCTCGCTGTCCTGAAATGGAACGGAACGCCCCATCTCCAGAGGCGTTCACACCCAGGCAACCGCCCTTGGCAGAGCAGCAGAACTATAACAGAGGCCGTGTGGCCTGCACTGTGTGGTCACAGACAGGGATTCGCATCCTGGCTGCTGTTCACAAGGTGACCTTGAGCAATTATTTAACCTCTCTGAGCCCTGGTTTGCTCCTCTATGGAACGGAGAGAACAAGAGTCCCCAGCTCAGAGGCACGTAACCAGGGCTTAAGCAGTGGGAGCCGACATGATCGGAGCCCTTGCTGCCGCAAGTTTCTGCAGACCTGGAGGGTCGACTGCCCAGCAGGCAGGCAGGCGGGGAGGTGATTCTGCCTGGCTTCTGGGGAAGAAGGCCCGGAGCTGGAGCTGAGAGGAGAGGGGGCGTGGGCACATCCCACGGACTCTGCGAGCGCCCGCTTTCCCCATCCAGGTTTTCCCAGATGGTTCAGGACAAGCCCCTGCGCACATCCTGGCAGCGGAAGATGAAGGAGCGGCAGGAGAGGAAGCTGGCCAGGGAGTTTGCCCGGCACCTGGACGAAGAGAAGGAGAGGCGCCGGCAGGTGAGCGGCCGGCCAGCCAGGCCGAGGCAGGAGGGGAGGGGACGCTCACGCACGTGCCCAGGGGCAGGCTGGCTTGGCCGAGAGCCATCCTTGAGCCTAAGGGCCCTGACGAGGCAGGGAGCCTGGGCAGAAGCAGAAGTGCGGTCTGGACCACAGGGTGGGGAAGCCCAGTGCAACATCCAGCTGAGCCTGGGTCTCTGTGAGAGGCTCAAGGATGGGGAGGAGGCCCAGGAAGAAACCCCCATGCCTCTCACTGGTGGCAGGAGCACTCAGTGAGATGGGGTCGGGGCTCCTTCCCTGGGACCTGCACAGATGGGAAAGGCCCATCCCGGTATTGCTGCCATCTTTCTCCAAGGAGCGGCTCCCATACGTCAGCCAAGTGGACGGCCCACATTTTCCTCTGGTTCTCTCCCTGCCGCTCAGCCCAGGGCCACAAAGGTCCCACTAGAGGTTCACAGCCAACCTCTTCAGACTCCAGGAAGCCCCCGCGGGCAGCACGCGGAGACAGCGAGGTGGCGCCGTTGGTCAGTGACCGCACCACCAGGACCAGGGTTATCCGCGGGATGTCACTTGCCTAGTGATCCCAGGGGCACTTGCCCCCACCTGTGGTCCCAGCCTGGCCCCAGACGGGAGGAGGCAGGGCCGGCCACTTGGTCACCTGTCCCCTGCTTTGAGTTGCCCCAACTCAGCATGTGGCTGAGGTGTGACTGCCGCTGTGAGCTGACGCCTTATCTCACTTCCTTTGTGGCCCTGGTCCCCTCTTGAGCAAGAGAAAGCCTTCTTGTCACCTCCCCCCCTCAGAGGTACCGCTGCCCAGCCACCCGCCCAGACCTTCCCCCGACTCTAGGAGCTTCAGTCTCACTTCTCCTTTCTCCCCGGGGCCCAGGCCACCCCTGCTCCCCCGAGTTGCCAAAGCCAAGAGAGGCCCCTGACCATGCAGCAGCCTCGGAGCCGACATCCCCGCCCCGGCCCCCCGAGGGACAGCAGTCAGCATAGCCAGACAGTGCTGGGCTCCCCGCTCCCGAGACGAACTCCACCTAGACTCACCTTCTAAGGGGTCCCGGTGGGCCGGGCACTGTTCCAAGCCCTGACCCTCTATTCCTGCGTTTCTTCCTCAAAACAACCCCACGTGATCATCTTTACTTTGAAGATGGGGAGCAGAGGCCCAGAGAGGGTAAACAACTTGGCCAAGGTCCCCAGTTTAGGAAGTAGCGGAGTCAGGATGTGAACTGGCGCCAGATGGCTCTGGGGTCTCTTCTCTGCAGCCCCCACCCTTCCCGGCCCTGCTCCTGGGCGGGCCTCAGGAGACAGCCCTCACCCCGGCCTGGCCCTCTCGGGGCACATGGGCTCAGGGAGAGAGGGAGACTCCGAGAGGGCTGCTGAGAGGGTGGGAATGAGGAAACCAGCCCACCCCGTCTCCCCTGGCAGTTGATGAAGGGGGCGTGCAAGGGGCTACCGTCTGTATGTGCCTGAGTTTCCAGGGGGGGAGCCCCCATGTCTTAGCCCACCAGCCCTCCCATAAGCCCCTGTTGCCAGCTGTCTGACCGGGTGCCCACCGTCTCAGGTGGAGTCAGAAACTGCCCCTACGGTGGGCCTCTGGTTCCGTGGGCACAGGGATTGCTCCTTGCTGGCCCTGCGTCCACACACCACCAGGAACAACCCAGAGCTGGATGAGAGGGCCTTTCCCCCCACCCCGGGAATTATGCCAGCTCTCTCTCCTCTGGGGCCTGAGAGACCAGGGCCGCCTCGACTCCCAGACTCCAATCCTCTTCCCCTATGTGTTCCAGGAGAAGAAACAGCGCCGTGCCGAGAACCTGAAACGCCGCCTGGAGAATGAGCGGAAGGCAGAGGTGGTCCAAGTGGTGAGTGTCGCCCTGCTCGGGGGTCTGAGCCCCGGCCAGGCTGGGCGTTGCGTCTGAGATGCCTCAGCACCCCCGCCTCCCGGCCCCCACTCTCGTGCTGCCATCCCTGGGGCACCGGGCGGAGACTCTAGCCACACTAATGCCTTCTCCTCCCACCACCCCAGATCCGGAACCCCGCCAAGCTCAAGCGGGCGAAGAAGAAGCAGCTGCGCTCCATCGAGAAGCGGGACACCCTGGCCTTGCTGCAGAAGCAGCCGCCACAGCGGCCAGCAGCCAAGGTCTGAGCCAGGACAGCCCGAGCCTTCTGTGGCCAGCCACCATGTCAGACACAGCACCGCTGCTGGACCCGGCACTCCAGCTCTGTGGCTGCAAATCAGGGACCCCACCTGAGATGGGCTCCGAGCCTTTGAGGCTGTTGGGCAGGTGGGACAGAGGCCCAGAGGGAGCCTGCGACCTGGCAGAGACTGGGGGAGGGAAGAGGTTCAGCCCCCCTCCCCTGTTCCCCTCCTTCTCCAAGTGCCTTCAAACCAAGGAGAGTAGATTCTTCTGGTTCCTCGGGGAGCTGAGGGCTGAAGGGTGACTCCCCAAAATGTGTTATGTTCTGTCTCAAGATACTCGGTCCAGCCCAGGCCAGGAGGCCAGCAGTCAGGAACCCAGCTCCCCCACACCTTTCCAAAGGCTGTTTTGGGTTCCTCTGCACCCCACTGACCCCGTCACCAAGTAGACTGACTCCAGCTTCGCCCCACTTTTCACCACTGAAACATTAAAATGGGGAGGTTGCAGGGAGCAGAGTTTCTCTAGCGCCCTCTTTGCTGTACCACACTCTGCAGAAACGCCAAAGGTCTGATTGACTCACGCCCTCCAGTCTACAACAAAAATAGTTATTGAATGCCTGCTGTGGACAGGCGCAACTTTAGGTACCACGGGATCGGACAGAAGTCCCTGCCCTCCAGGAGATTTCCTTCTGATGGAGAAAATAGAATAAACAAGTAAAATACATTGTGCGTCAGATGGCGAAATGCACTCTGAGTAAAGCAGGGGAGGGGTGGGAGGGAGCATGGGCAAGGTGTGACGTCGGGATGTCTGTGCTGTCAGCTGTACGTCTGCTGTTCAGTTTTCTGAACACTTGCTGTGGGCCGGGCCCTGCCTGGCACTGGGAGTAAACAGTAAGCTGGCCAACACAGCCTGGGGGTGGCCCAAGGAGCACTGGACCAAGATCCCAAGAGAGTTTCTTCCCTGGCTCTTCCACTACCGTTTCATCCACCACTCATTTACTGGCTCCAACTGCACCAGGCCCTGGGATGCAGAGCTGAAGACAGCAGTCTGAGAGGAAACAGACAAGGTGCAGTGGAAGTGCTGTGACACGTACAGGTTACCCCCAACATCTACAAGTGGGGAGTCATAGCTCAGCCCCTGTGTGGTGGGGAGGGGGGTGCTGCACAGATCTGGGAATTACCAGCGTTGCCCAGAGGGCATCCTATGGAACTCCAGCCCCACACAGGTGGCAGGTTAGCTGGGAAATGTCATGTGCTGTGGTCTTGGGGACTGCCATGCCCGTTCAAATACTCAAGACAGAAGACGTTCAGTAAAGATGCCCATTGTGCTTCGATTAGCCAAGCTTTCCCAAACATTTGACCATGGCACCTCTTCCTTTTTCCACCTTATAAAGACTTTGGGCACTGCCAGCTCAGAAGAGTAGAGATGGGGCCTCCAAGGCAGCTACTATCTTAAGTACCTTGGGTATGTTGGGTGTTCTTTCACTTACTAAATAATAGTTGAACCTGTAATGCTTGGAAGTTAGCACACAGACCCTGTCAGTCACCAGCCGTTCATGAAACCTTGGGCAAGTTGCTTACTCCCTGTGCCTCAATTTGCTCAATGGTATAAACTGGGGCTAACAGAACCCACCCCTCAAGATTGTGGGATAAAGCAGTCTGCTCCATAAACGTCGGCTGAGTGAGCGAAGTGAAGAGATTAGACCGAATAGTGTGTCCCAAACCTTTCCTCTCTCACTTTATTCCAAAAATACATCACTGGTTTAATGTAAAAATACTCCCTCCCCTCCCCCCCCCATCATCTGGTAAAATTGAGCTCCAGGGAGATGCGTCCTGTGTACCTCGGGGCGCCCACTACACCAGTTTGAGAATCTTAAGATTTTAACGCTGTGTCACTCCAAGTGTGACACAGGGCCAGCAGCACTGACCTCGCCTCCTGGGATCTTGTTAGAAACGCAGAGTCTCAGCGCCCCCAGTCCCAGCCTGCTGAATCAGGCCGCACTTTAACAGGATTCCTAGGATTCCAGGACTCACGCACAAAGGTTTGACAAGCACTGCTCTGACTCCCTGATTCTGAAAAGGATTCGCGGAATCGCGCGGGGCTGCTTTAAAATGCAGAATCCCGGCTCCTGACCTTGGACCAAGATCTCGGAGGGTGGAGCCGGGATATCTACATTTTAATGATGCCTCCCTTGGGATGCTGCGTTGGCGCTCCATGGCTGCCAGATGTTGGCCTATCCTGAGAGAATGGCGCTTTGGGGCCCGCGCTTCTAGCCGGAGGTGGTGCTCAGCGCCCGGTTCAGGGGGGCCGTCTGGTCCTCGGATCGGGCCCGGCCCCTCTGCGGAGACGCGGCGCGACCTCCCCGCAGCCAGCCCAGCAGGGTCCCGGGCCGCCGGAGCGGGGACAGACGGCGGCCGCCGAGCGGCAAGGAGGAGGCGGAGTTGGCGGTGGAGGAGGCGCGGCGGCGGCGGCTGCTGCCCAGGCCGCCCAGCTCGCTGTCATCCACCAGCACGCTCTCCAGCACGCTGCGCAGCGAGCGCCGCAGCTTGTGCAGCACGTCGGGGCAGGTGAGCACGTAGAGCAGCGGGTTGACCACGCTGTTGATGAAGGCCAGGCTGGTGACAAAGGGCAGCCCGCGCCACACGAGCGGCCGCAGCGCCGGGTCGCCGTGCGCCCGCGCCTCCAGCAGGCTGAAGACGTGGTAGGGCCCCCAGCAGAGCGCGAAGGCCGCCACCACGGCCATCACCAGGCGCACGAAGCGGCCGGGCCGCCGGCAGCCGCGGTGACGCAGCTGCAAGCTCACGGTCGCGTGGCTCGAGGCGATGATGGCCAGGGGCACCAGGAAGGCCAGCAGGAACTTGCTGACAGCCAGGGCCGCCTGGCGCGAGTTGCACGTGGCGTTGCGGTCAGGCCCGGGGTTCAGGAGCAGCACGTTGTAGTAGCACATGACGCGGCCGTCCAGCCGCGGGATGGTGTCCCGGAACACGAAGTAGGGCACCGTGTTGAGCACGGCCAGGGCCCAGAGCACCAGGCACACCTTGTGGGCCGCGGCCACCGTGCGGTGGTTCTGCGCCCACACGGGCCGCACCACCTGCAGGCAGCGGTCCAGGCTGATGGCGCTGAGCAGGAAGCCGCTAGCGAACATGTTGAGGAAGAATACGGAGGAGTGCAGCTTGCAGAAGGTGGTGCCCAGCTCCCACGTGTGGCCCACGGCCAGGAAGTAGGTGAAGAAAGGCAGGGAGGCGCTGGCCAGCAGGTCGGACAGCGCCAGGTGCAGCACCCAGGTGGTGACCACCGTCTGGCGCATGCGACAGCCCACCATGAAGAGGATGAGTCCGTTCTCCACGAGGCCCAGCAGCGAGGCTAGCGCGTGCAGCACCACCGACGCGTGGTCGATGTAGCGGATGCTGGTGTTGCTGTGGCTTTGGAGGCGACTCATCTGCTCCAGGATGGGGCACAGGGGCTTCACCGAGACGTTGGCCAACATCGTGCACTCTGTGGTGGAGAGAAGGAGGCCCTGAGGTGGGCAGCGCAGCGGCAACAGAGACCCTCTCCAGGAGATGCGAATCTGACCCACGAATGTTACAGATGAGGCCCCAGGGGATCAGGAAGTTGAGCAAAGGCAATGGGGTGGGAGGATGACATCCCAGCTCCACCTGCTCGCTGTGCAACCGTGGACAAGCCGTTCAACCATCCCTAGCCTGTCTCCTCTATAACATGGATGCCAGTCATAATGACCTCGCTCCTAGGGCTATTAGGAGAGTTCAGTGAGTTCATATATATAAGAGCCTGGTGCACAGTGAGCATGGCATCAATGTCATTGTGATTATTATTAATCCATGTGATCCTAAGATCACATGGAGACATAGGAACAAGGTCAGGCCATGCAAGGCTCTTTTCCCTGATCTCCAGAGCACTGGGGCATGAGCGAGGCCCCTCATAAAGGACAGGAGGGTTCAGCTGGCCTAGGGGATGAGAATAGAAGGAAGAGTCTGTGCCTTTAAGGAATGCCATGCTCCCCCACCTCAGCACCCACAGACCGTGCCTTTCTGCAGATTCTCTAGATGGCCCTTGGCTCCCACAGTGGTGGCTAGTCGAGTGTGTTGACAGCAAACAGTGGAGCCAGCCACTCCCCCCATACTTGGAGAGGAAATAAGATAAGAGCAGGGAGAGAGCTGGGTAGGAGAACTGCCAGATTGCAGCTCTGAAGGCCCAGGGGGGCCAAAAGACCTCCCTCCCCTCTGCCCAGGGACAGCCACCGCCCACTCTGCCTGCCCCAGGAAACCCAGCCCCTGCATTCATTTATTCACTCACTGACGCACTCACTCAACAGATATTTACTGAGCCACTGTTCAGGCAAGTGCTGGAGCAGCCAGCCTCTGGCAGATGTGCAGACACCCCAGATGTGCCCACCCACAGCCTCGTCAAGAACCGGAGACCGTCTGACACGAAGAGAGGGCTGAGGGCGGTGGGGTGGGAGGCTGTCTGCAGGAGGTAGGGGATGGGTATCAGGGGTTAGGACTGGCCCCCCTCCCCCCTGCAACACGCCAGCTACTGTGGAAGGTCCCCTCCATAGGTGCGGTCTTGCTCGCAGCTTTGGGAGAAAGTGCTAGTTCTTCTCTCCATCCCGTCTTACAGGTGAGGAGACGGACGCGAGTGTTTAAATTGCTTGCCCAAGCCACCCCGACAACAGACACATGCAGAGGAGCAACAGTCTAGCACTCAGCCTGTTCTCTTTCGTCTCGCTCTGCTCGAAGCAAGAGATGATGGAGGAAGCAGAGCAGGAAAGGGTCAGGGGGGAGGTGGTCTTTGGTACTCATCTTCCAGTGTGGCCTCTAGTGTGGGGATGAGAAAATCCACACCCTTCTCCAGGGACCACGGTCCTTTGCAGGGTGAGGTCCCAAGATATAAACTAGAATCTCCCTGGCAGACGAGCCCTTTGGAGCCGGGGATCTGCAGATCGGTGGGTGGGGAGGGTTAGAACCATGGTCCCCAAGAATGCTCATCCTCCCTCAGCTTTAGACTTTGCAGAGCAATTACCCTCACAACGAGCCTATGAGACCCCATTTTTCAGAAGAGGAAACTGAGGTTCAAAGAAGCAGCGCTCCTTGCCCAACCTCCCTCAGCTGCAGTGGTGGAGCTGGGACCCCGCTCCCGGCAGACGAGTACCACCCCCTCTCAGCACTGCAACATTCCCTTCAGCCCACCGGCTGCTCATCCAAGTCCCATGGGGATACTCAGAGAGCACAGTGCTGCTGCCCCCTGGGGGCCCATCCAGACTAGACCTTCTGGCTGCACGGAGTCAGCCCCCAGGTTCGCAGGATTGTCAGGGAGCCCAGCAGCTAAGATCCCGTTTGGGCAGGGGGCTAGGGGCAGAGAACACAAGCTTTTGGAGTCAGAGACCTGGGTTCGAATCCCAGCTCCTTGACTTCCGGGCTGGGCGGACTTGGGTCGGTTGCCCTAGGACTCCTCGTGCGATCTTCCCACCCAGACTGTGTGTGAGTCTGGAAAGAGAAGCCCGAATGATTTACCGCTGTGCCTGGCATCTCGTGAATACCCAAGAAAATGTGGTCCGTCCCTCCTCTGAGCAGCGAGTCCACTTCAGTCTTTGGCGAACGCAACCCTCTGTCATCCTAGCTTGAACAGCCCTCTCCCCTGGTAGAACTGTGCCTTCTCTCGTGGGTCCAGAGAGGGCACCAAGGCTGCCCAGCCCCTGGACCCCCGCCTCCTTACCTGGGCACAGAGGAAGCACAGGATTCCAGCCCTGGAGGCAATCGGCTCCTGGCAGCAGCTAGACAGGAGGCACCGGGCGGGCTGGCAGAGGCAGGGGAGTGAGGCTGAGGGAGGAAATAGTGTGTGTGTCTGTGGGAGGAGGGTGGAGGCGGGAACAGTGGGCTGTGACTTGTTGCACTGGTGTTCCAGTAACATCAATCTCCATCAATGGGGACGGGACGTAACTGCTGGCAGCCCCAGCTTCCTGCTCCCTTGACGAAGGAGACTTTGCAGAAGCCTGAGGTCAGTACAGATGCACTTGAGGAAATAGGAGCATGCATAGTGTAGCTTTTGAGAGGGACCAATGTGTAGGAGAAATGCACAAGGAAGAGGATGTCTTGTCCGTCTTTCCCCTGTCCTGGCTCTCTTGACCCCATAATCCACGGCAGAGAAACCCCTCCAGCTGCTGTGATGTACCTGGACCAGACTGGGTGCCTGTCCGTAAGGGGTCCCGCGGGCTCCATGGCCAGGAAGGCAGGTTGCGCAGTGGGAAGAGCTCAGGGGCCTGGCTGCCCATGTGGCCCCTGCAGCTGCTGCCCCTTGCTGGGCCCCGGTTTGGCCATCTATGAACAGAGCAACAGGGTCTGCCTCTCAGGGCAACAAGATACCCTCATTCACAAAGCACCCAGCACACAGTAGGTGCTTATAAAAATCAGTGTCTTTCCCCTCTGCGGGGAAAAATGGGTTTCAGCCATAGGGGTAGGGCACCACAGCTTTTATTTAAAATGCGCTCTGAGCCCTAGGATGAGAGGATTGAACTATGTAAGTCTGCATTTCATTGTTCCCGAAGTCTTTACTCCCCTTTGCTGACCAAGCTTCTTGTCATCAGGGACCATCCTGCAACCTCAGTGTCCCAGCACCTAGGAGATAATGAAACATGGAAAGAACTCGGTACCCAGGGCTGGCCAGGTGATGTAGTGGTTAAGTTCACATGCTCTGCTTTGGTGACCTGGGGTTTGCAGGTTTGGATCCCAGGCATGGACATAGCACTGCTCATTGAGCCACACTGTGGCAGCGTCCCACATAAAATAGAAGAAGATTGGCATTGACGTTAGCTCAGCGACAACCTTCCTCAAGCAAAAAGAGGAAGATTGACAACAGATGTTAGCTCAGGGCCCATCTTCCTCAGCAACAAAAAAAAAGAAGAAGAAGAACTGGGTATCCCATATGAGGGCCAGGGCAGCCTCCACGAGGTTGACTCTACAAGAATCTCCCATTTAGGCACGGGCTTAAGGCAGGGGCTGGCACTTGATAAACTTGCAGAGAGACTGCGATCCTTACTGGGAAATGAATAAAATGTCATGACCGTAGCGGGCGGGGAGTGATATTTCTCACTGTAGCCCAAGATAGCATTTCAGTAAGAGCCTTGATTATGCAAACCGTCAGCACCGGGAATGTCTGCTCTCTTCCAGGTCAGGGGGCTTGGTCTTCCGAGACCGGTGCCTGCCCCCCTGCCTAGAAAATAGGTGGGTGTTTCCACTCCACTTTGGGGAAAGTTCATTCATGCCCTGCTACACCCCCACCCGACCTGCTGACGCGTGGACATCCTTTAAGGCCATGCAGGCTGTGTACCCTGGGCGGGTAACGTCACAGGGATCCTGGGGCCAGACTGCCAGTGTTTGGCTCTGGCATTGCCGCTTCGTAGCTGTGTAACCCTGGGCAGGTAACGTCACAGCAGTGAAATATGAATTTTTCAAAGGTCCCCCTTCGCCATAGTCCTTGCCCCAAAGTTCAGGGCTTGGTGCCTAAACTTCCCTTTGAGCTAAGAAAGAATCCCCCCACTTGCCTATAGACCCGTCTTAGCACTAAGGCACCAGGGCATCAGGCTTGGGGTGGGGCACAGCCCTCCCTCTGGGTCTCAGCCCTCCCTTGCCCCCTCTACTTGGTACCCTTGTGCAGTGAACATCCTGCGCAACCTCTCGGGGCAGCCCTGCTAGGTGCTTCTCACCTGAAACCCTCAGTCCTCTGACCCTTCCCCAACTCTTGCTTCCTGTCACGTAATCACTGGGGTGGCCTGTCTGTCTCCCAACTCTCCCTAAGGACAACTTATGAAAAGTTACTAAAACAAACAGAGTACTCCAGATGAGTAGAGCCCAAAGGCATTTCTGAAGAAGGAGGCAGTGCTTGTTCCGGTCACCCGCCCCCCTCTGCCCAACGCTGCACTCCCACAGTGTAAATGGCCTCCGGCACGTATTCCAAGAGCCCCCCAGGGTCCATGTGGAGGAGGCCAGGGGCGGGAAGGAGCTAGATGGACAGGATGTGCCTCCGCCCCTGGGTTTCAGGAACCAAGAGCCAGCACCAGGCTCTCTGAGAGGAAGAGTGTCCTGAGCCGATGGTCGGTTGCAGTGGGGGCCCAGGCAGGGGCTGGCTGGCTGGAAGCAGAGGACAGGAGCCTGCCTTGACCAGGAGACATGGACCCAGGCTGAGTCTGAGAAGGACAAAATCCAATCAGAGAGCCTTGTGGGGGCCGCTGCAGTGGCAGGCAGGTTCCACGGGCAGGAGGACACCCGGATGGTCAGATGGGCCCCCAGGGAGCTCAGAGTCTGGAGGAGAGTGACTGGGGCCTTGGCGAGGACCAAAAATGGTCGAGACCAGCAATTCTCAACTTGAGGCTGCGTCAGACCCACCTGGAGGGCTTGTGAAACCCCGATTGCTGGGCCCCGCGCCCAGGGCCCCTGCAGCAGGTCTAGGGGGCCAGCCTGGCCGTTTGCATCTCCATCAAGTTCTGCAGAGGATGCTGAGGCTGCCCATTCACTGGGACGGAGAACTCGGGTCCTCGGGTCTGGGGTGCTCAGAGCAGGGAGGTCCTGGGAGAGAGCAGGGGCCTCAGCTGAGGGGCCTCAGCCAGGGCTCCCCCTCCCTGCTCTGAGGGTCAGAGGAGATAATAAGCCAGGTGCTCAGCTCAGAGCCTGGTACAGAGCGAGGACACAAGAGCCAGTTGCCATGATGATTATTACTTCCTGTTGTTGTTTTCTGCCGTGATGCTGATGTCGGGACCTCGGTGGGGCTGGGCCTTGCCAGACAGAAGGTGGGGGAGCAGAGGAAAGAGAGACATGCTTTGTTCCAGCTGCCAATGCAGCCGGGCTGCCGGGAGGGGTTCTAGGTTAAGGGGAGAGAGAGGGGCCTAGGGAAGTGGGGGTCCCGACCTGAATGGCGGGTAGGGATGGGTCCCCACAGAGGCGCTTCAGCCTGGCTTCTCAGAAGGACCTAGAGAAGGACACAGCCACCCCCAGGGCACAGGCCTTAGTCCCCAAGCACAACTTTCTCCATGGCTTAGAACTTGATGTCACAGCCAGAAAGAGCCTAAGTCGGGTCCATCTCTGAATCAACTGCACCTCCCTCAGTGGAGGAGACAAATCTGAGCCTGACAGCCCCCTGCTGGGTCTCTGCTGCACGTAGGAGCTGTCCAGACTGCCAGCGTGGCATTCGAGGCTTCTTGGATTCACCAGGCCCCTGCACCCTTTCCACTTGTCCCCAGCCACCGCATCCCCCACCACTATACACCTCAGTACCTTTGCACATGCTGTTGCTGCTGTATGGAATGCCTTTTTCCCTCCCCTCCTCATCCTGCAGGACCCCTTTCTGAGGTCATCAGTGTCTCTGGGCTCCTAGGAGGATGCTCATGCCATCAAGTGTGTTTAACAGACAGCCCAGGGGACGGACCAACGTAGCCCCCAGCCGTGGTTTTCTCCCAGATTTCTCCCTCTGGCCCTGCTTTAGGAGGCGGGTTATCATGCTCCTTTCTGGCCTCTTTAAAGAAGTCAATCAAACAGGAAGTGAGATGCATGGCAGGAAGCTGGTGGGACCTGCCCTGGCATCCCCCAGCCTCCTTACTCGGGAGGCCCTGGAGTTGCCCACACGCAGCAGAGGAACAGCATGACAGGACCTTGTGGTGGCCTGCGTAGAGCTCCCTAATGCCACCACCACCCACAGGAGGAGGCCTAACTCCTCACATGGCCGGTAAGCCCCTCAGGGATCTGGCCCTGCCCACGTCTCCACCTTCATTTCTGCTACTCCCTAATCACATCCTATCATCAGTCAGCTTCTAAGCTTTTATCACCACCTTCCCCCACCCTGTACACATGCTGGTTTCTGTGCCCTTGCTCATGCTGTTTGCTTCCTGCTCTAGAATACTGTTTCTTCTCTTGACTTCTTGGTGAACTCCTATTCATCCTTCAAAACCCTGGCCAGATGTTGCCTCTTCTGGGAAGGCTTTGCTAATCCTCTCAGACAGACCCTCCTTCCCACATCCCTGCCCCACTTTATATACAGCCAGCTTTCCCGTCCCTGGTCACTTTTTCTCACAGTTGTTCCCCACGCTCATGAGGAGCAACTTGAGGACAGAAACTGTTCCTACATCATCTCCTCAGCACCAAAGCCAAGTGGAGGGCCTGCTATGGGAGAGGGATCCCCAAAACTGTTTACTAAACAGAAGAAATCTCCAGGATTAGAGACTGGATCTGCCAAGGCCCCCGGCTTCCTCAGGATGACCCATTCTGGAGCCATGGTTACCCACGGCCTGGTGCCCTTCTCTCTGGCTCTGTTCTCACCTGCAGAGGGCGCAATCTTGGAGACTCATAACCTCGTACTATTCCTAACTGATAACTTTCTCAGGCCCACACATACACCAGTCAAACCGCACAAAAACAAGAAGAGCCTCTTAGTGTCTTAGGGCGGCCATCACAGAGTGCACAGATCTGCTGGCTGACAACAGAAATGCACTCTCTCATCGTCTGGGGACCAGGAGTCTGACACCTAGGTCTTCGCAGGGCAGCGTGCCCTCTGAAGGCCCCAGGGGAGGGACCCCCCCGCCCCCCACTTTCCCAGCATCTGGTGACTCCAGGCGATCCTTGGCCTGGGGCTGTATCTCTGCCTCCTCTTCACGTGGCCTCTCCTGCCCCTGCCTGTGTCTCTCTCGTAAGGACACTTGTCTTTGAATTTAGGATCCATCCAGATAATCGAGGATGATCTCGTTTTGAGCTCCTCAACTCTATGACGTCTGCAAAGCCCCTTTTCCAAATAAGGTCGCATCCACCGTTTCCACGGGTTAGAACCTGACATATCTTTTGTCACTCAACCCACGACAAATAGTAATTGCTAACATTTACGGGGTACTTACTACCTGCCAGGCACCAGGCTAAGCACTTTGCATGTCTTAGCTAATTTAATCCTCACAACTCCCCCTTGTCTCTCCAGCCTGGAAAGGCCCCCACCCTCCCTCTGTCTCTGGCTTCTATTGGCAGAAGAGACAGAGCAGATAACTAATACTTCATGAGCACTGAACTCTCCTGGCTCCCGGGTGAGGTTAATCTCATTCTTAATCCCATTTTACAGATTAAGAAATTCAAGTCCAGTTTTTTAAAAAGTAAAAACCAAGTTTTGGGGCCTGGCCCCGTGGCTGAGTGGTTAAGGTGCCATGTGCTCCGTTTTGGCGGCCCAGGTTCACAGGTTCGGATCCCAGGCGCGGACCTGCTCCACTCGTGAGCCATGCTATGGTGGCGTCCCACATACAAAGTGAAGGAAGATGGGCACAGATGTTAGTTAGCTCAGGGCTAATCTTCCTCAAGCAGAAAAAGAGGAAGATTGCCAATGGATGTTAGCTCAGGGCGAATCTTCCTC